CGTCGAGAAGGACGTCCAGTAACTGATCCAGCGGGGGCACACCAAGACCCTAAAAACGAGTGGCAAGACACTAGTAAAACCTGGGGTGCCCCCTCTAGAAACGTACCTCGGGGTTTTCTTGCTCCCTCTAATAGTCACCAGAACATACAAAGGTAAAAGATTATTAACGGGGGTGTCAACTAACGAAAGTCTGTAGGTTTCGACCGAAATCGATAACGTCTAAGACAGAAGGCGGTCGGACCACGTCCAGATTCGTTAAACAAAGACCAGGAAACTGGGTCGAGGAAACCAGAACCGGTATCACCTCAACCTTCACACTGACCCAAACTCCCAACACCTCGTCCACAGAAATATGACACTATTGCTCAAGGTTTGTCCACCCGGTAATTATGTCAATGTTTCACCCCTTTTCGGTCTCTCGGACGAAATTTTCTTCCAATGTCCAGACACTCCGGTCTTTAGAACAAACAATCATCCACTGGTTTATAAGAAAAGCGTGTATAAACGTTTATTTAAGAAATTTTTAGCTCTGTTACACAAAAAGGACCTAAAAAAAAAAAGAGTAAAACAGAGAGGTATCAAACTGCCATATGGCCACTATTTAATGTCCTGAGATAGGTAGGAAAAATTCACCCTTCTTTGAACGTCGTTAACCACCGACTGATTTATGGAGAAAAAGGGGGTGACAGACACATACGTACTTCAAAGCAGTGTAGGTTTATAATAATACTATATTCTTGTTATATCATACGCATAACTGAGGGGACACCCCGGGTCCGTTGTGTTATAAATTGAATGTAGTGTTTAGACGGTGCTATAATAGAGTTTAACAAAATATACGTCGATAAAAATAAGTTTTATTTTATTTTTCAGGAGGACATGCGATATATTCACCCGGTTGCGAGCAGTTGACAATTCCAAAGTTAGCTTCTAGTAATGTCGACACTTTGACATGGCGAAAAAACAAAGGGGCGTAACAGTACGCGTACAAGAGTGACTAGTATTAGGTAACAACTCAGATCATCTTATTCTATATTAACAGTTACAATGCGTTTGAATCTAAACCAAAGAGTATGTCGTAGAGACATTGTATCACATAATGGAGGTAGACAGGATTTTGCCGAACAACCTCCGAGGACGGGTGGGGGGGGGGAGGGGATACTCAGCGTGAGCACCGCGACTAACCAAGTCGAACCGGTGAGGGGACAAGACTACTCAGATAGGTGGGTCAATGTCGTCTTGTAGTCACTAATACACAATTCGTTACCGCCATCGTTGGTCTTTGACTGTGCGTCATTCCTGTTGTCTACTCTTACCGCGCACCCAGACCCACCCGGCACAACCGCCATCAACGCCGCCGCAGCGACGCGACGCTCCTCCGTCCTGTCACACTCGACCGGAATGACCACATTAAAGGCGGCCAACGACACACCCCAGACTCGAGTCCGACTCACACACACGCCTCCGAGCGCGCCTAACCAGCGCTAAACCTGCATCACTGGAAGTTATACGGGGCCCTCTTATTTTACCTTTTTCTCTTTAAGAGGTTGCTCCGGGCAAGACCCGTAGGGGTATCTGGTCCCATAAAAGACACAATCATCAAATGAGCCGTGTCCCACATGAAACTCCCAAACACTCGAGACATCTGGCAAATGTACGTCTTTTTTGGAAGTATTCGTGTGTTCCCTCGCCCATTATTGGGTTCTTTTTCCGTACTACCCTAGAAATTCAAAAAGTCTTTGTACTTTGGTCTCAAAAAAAGTTAACTGAAGATTTCTTTTTTGTAATTCATCTTAACGTACAGAAATAGATTGTCGACCGAGTAAACTTTTTAGTCGAGATTTTAGTTTTGTCAACTATAATCCGAGATTAGAAGAAGGCGAAAGACGTCCGTACCTGTCTCTGGGTACCGTCCTCTCGCTCTATTTTTCAAGCGAGGAGTATCTTGGCCAAAGGGGGCGTTGCCCCTGTTGGAAGGTCGCCGGGACCTTTTTTCCAGTACCTTCCGTTTCGTCTTACAGTTTAAACAGGAACAGAACTGCACGCCGTTCTCCAAGCAGTACTTTTGGTCCTTCGATATTGAGAAGGCGACAAAATTTTGTGTTTATACTCTGGAAAGGGTTTACTCGTGTGTGTTTAGATAAATTAGAAAAGCGTGTCCAACGTAGCTGTACTCACAAATTTCTCCCTTCTGCGTCCCTGCGTCACTACTGTTGTCTCTTTCGAACCTCTTTTCCATTTTGTCTAATTTGTCCCTTTTTGGGGACTTGGGTTCTTCTATACAGGATGACGGAAAATAGGTGGGATCTAACTTATAAAGGCAGGGACATCGTTGCATCGTGTTCCGTTTAGCACTAGCATACCCGAAACAGACTGGTATTTAGGGATAACCATTGGGAACAGTTTCCAAATTGTCTGAACCCTTTGGAGTCGTATGGCACAGAGGTAATGCAAGCATATGAAGAAATACAACTTTTGTATTGGCTATGCAACTCCTAAAAGTGAAATTGAACATTGTTTTAGCAATTTCAGGACAGGTAATGCTACCCATATGAATTCTTAACAAATACCGGGGAAGATAATCAAAATATCTAATATTTACACTGTATGATAAGATTCCTTTAATGGGTGCCGGCATGTTTTGTTTCTGACAGATACGTCTTCATTATGGCGTCAAACTCTACGCCGCTGGAAATGTTCAATAAGAAGTCATAAAGGAGAGGAACAAGTGCAAACAAAGCCTCATTTCATGAAGAAAGATGATAATATCAGTCAAATCATTATTTTGTATCATGTTTAAATGTTATTAGGGAGACATTCTACCATGTGTTCAGAGTCTGAGATAATAAAACAACTTGATTGATGCTGAAGAAATGTGTCGGGTTACTTTTTTTCTCCACATGGAAAATGGACCAGGAATCAATAAAAGAATCAGAACGATAAGCAGAATCAATGATGGCATTTGTATCAAATCCTATCAGTTCCAACTCTATCGAAACAAAGCACTCCGAAACCAGTGATCAAGAGAACATTTCTGGAGAGGAGAAAGCAACAGTTGGTCATTTAAAAAAAGAGAGACAGTATAATTCTAACTTTTGAGAAGCCAGCCTCTAAGGAGAGGCTTACGTGTTCTCCATCTTTGTGCACGCTTGAAAGATGTCTCTATGCATAGAGACATCCGGGTAGTTATAAAATTCATACCACCACTGTACAATCCTTGAAAAACACAATTTCTTGAGTTTTGACCATTTTAAGTCTTTTAAAAGTATGTTTTTTTTTATAAATGTTTACATGGACTGATGGACCCAATTCATAGAATGAACTGGATTTGTGTTGTGTATCATTAATGACAAACAACCAAAGCATTATGTGACGACACATCAAAACAGACTAAAGAAAAAAAAGTGTCATGTATGGATACTTTAGCAACAACTTCTTAAATGTACAATCCAAATGCAGGTGTTTTATGTGTAATATGACTCATCATGTTTAACAGCTGTATGGGGTGATCACCAAAAATCTCTCAGCCAGTGAATGGGCCTACCTTTCCATTTGTTCAAAGTCAATGGTGGAGAGACCAAGCCCTCTTCAGACTCACATTGACCATTACATAACCTTTACTACATACAAAGTCAAAGATAGTGTTAGAACACAGTGCAAATGTCAATAGGGTGTGTCCTGCTGGCTTCATTTACACTCTGTGTGAAGCTAACTAGCCGACATTTAGCCAATTCATTCAGACGTTTGACTACACAATATTAAACAGAGGGCTAAAAGCCTAAACCCCATTTTATTATTATAATGCCTTGACTAAGATGTCAGAAATGAATGCTGAGGATATTCAGAATAGTTTAAAGATAATACAATGTTAATTTCTAGCACCACAGGCTAAACTATGAGCACATACAAATAAGGCTAAGTAGCTAGCTGCTAAAACAGGTTCATTTTAGAGGACAACCGGAAGTCATTTAAATGTAGACAGTACCTTATAGAAAAAGGCACTATTTAAAAAGGCATAACTATCCTAAAACTGTACTAAATATATTTTGTATGACGGCATAAACATGAAAGTCGTTATTTTAATTGTCTTTTTTTCTCGCCATCACTCGTACCTCCACGATTTTGGAGCACTGGGTCCCTTTGCCTGCTCCAGGCCCCCCCAGAACGAAAACAACCTGCGGCTTCATCATCAGCGACACCCGGTACAACAAGCTCGGCACCCTCTGGAATACTTTAGCGAACAAACCGCCGATCATAAACCAGCAACTGGAGCTCCAAACTGGTTGAGGACCAAAATAATAAGCCGAGCTAGTGCCGGGTGAATGTGTGTCCGTGTCCGTGGTAGGAAGTGGAGGAGCAGCAGAATGACACTGCTTCCGCTGTTTATTCCATCGACCAATGAGGATGCAGATATGAGTGATGCAGGCGTGTACCCCCGCCCCCTGCACTTTTTTTCAATGCAGAGGTCGGGTGACGCCCCTCCCCTGCCTCCCTAGCATCAGCACCTCCACACGAAAGAAGACGGCTGGGAAAGGATGCTCTCCGCGCCGCGAGGCTCACTTTCAGCTCGAGGACACTTCACGATGAGACGACACACCGAGAAAGGCTCGAGCGGCAGGGTATAGTCACCGCTTTCTCCACGCTCATGCTGCCTCGCTGCCTCCATTCATGATGCACCATTCATGCATCCACAAGAATGGAAGCACTTTGCGAGGAAAACATTAAAATAACCAGTTGTCTCGCTTTTATAAAACGCATCCTCGCGCGGCTTCTTTTCTTGTAGGTCAAGGTGATGAAGATCCCGATTTTGTCTTTTGAGGGTGCCGCTCGAATTTAGGGCTAATAATACAGGAAAAAGCCAAGCAAACAAAAGACATCCAGCCCCCCTCCTCTGACGCACCTGGCTGCCCTGTCGCCACTTGACATGACAGCGCAGAGCCGGGAGCAGAGCAGCAGGATCAAGGGGCACCGACGTGCAGCCGGACGTGTGGACTCGACAAGGAGGGGAGCCTCCGGACGCACGGCGGAGACGCAGCAGCAGCAACCCAGGGGAGGTCGGATTGCAGTTCCCGGGGACGAGCGCCAAGGGCAGTGCGGCAGTCAGCAGGCAGACCGGGGGGAGGAGGCTGCGGAGATCTGTGATACTTCCCCCCCAGGCCCCACTGCGCTCTCACCTCCATATCATCCTGAGCACATCATGCTGGACGCTTTTATGTTAGATGAGTGCTGACTGTGATACTCCCCATCATTTCTCTACACCCTTTTCCCAACTAATGATGTGCAATTAAAAGATCTGCTCTCCAGGCAAGGGTGGACCCCGGTGGGGACTGATGTGCATACTGGCCAGGTATCATCTGCTCCCTTCTTCTCTGGTTTTGCTCATTTTGCTTGTCGCCTGCAGTATGGGCTGTATTCAGAGCATCGCATGCAAGCCCCGCATCAGACGGGAGAACATTGTGGTGTACGAGGTTTCAGCCTCCATCGACCAGTGTCCCACCATCATCGAGGAGAACTCACCGATTGTGCTCCGCTACAAGACGCCTTACTTCAGGGCCTCGGCAGGGGTTGTGATGCCTCCAGTGCCCCGCAATGAGACCTGGGTGGTGGGCTGGATCCAGGCTTGTACCCAGATGGAGTTCTACAACACCTATGGGGATATTGGCATGTAAGTTATCAACTTTTTACCACTGAAGGAGTTTTTGTGTCTGCACACCTCCCTCACACGACCCTGCATCTGCCCAAGGAGAGCACCCTCTCACTTTGTCCTCTCCTGTCCCCTCCACAGGTCCAGCTGGGAGCTACCAGAGCTGCGAGAGGGTCGGGTGAAGGCCATCAGCGACTCTGACGGTGTCAGCTACCCCTGGTACGGTAACACCACCGAGACAGTCACCCTGACCGGACCCACGTCCAAACCGTCCCGCCTGACGGTCAGCATGAACGACAACTTCTACCCCAGTGTGACCTGGGCGGTGCCCATCAGCAACAGCAACACGCCCATGCTGACCCACATCACCAGGGACCAGAGCTTCATCACCTGGCTGGTGGCCATGAACTCCGTCACCAAGGTAGGGGAAAATACACAGAGAGCAGCAAAGTATGGAGATGTTTGCTTGCTTTGAACTGACCGTAATGTAGTTATCTCTTCCTGCACTTTTATTTTCTGGTGTAAAGTTACAAAGTATGTCATCTTTGGCTTCAACTCTGCAGAATAAAGCCTATGCGGTGGATGTGCATCACAATGCTCACAGTATTCATGTGTTGTCTTTGTGGAATAGTTATACTTTTAAGGCTATGAGGAGAAGGTTGTCAGAATAGCTTTACCTAACGTTGGGCAATAAGAGCCAAGCAAGTCCCCAAGGGGACTGAAAACTCATAGTAAAATACTTTTCTGAGAAAGATATTTACCAAAGCCACAGTAATACATAATTTATTAGGATGCACTTTAACTATATCTATTAGTAGTAGATGAAAAAATAAACAATCAACTTGACCGGCTTCAACAATACACTCATGTACTTAAAATACACTGCGGCCTGCATACATACAGGAAAACAAACATCCTTCTTTCATGCACTGATCATTTTTTTGAGTTTCGCCTATAGATTCCATATCCTATATTACAGGCTATTATATATATATATATATATATATATAGTGACAAAAGAAATATACTAAAATACACTATTTGTGTTGTTTTGTTTTTCTTTTGTTGTTAGTATAGTTCTACTAATCCACCTAAGTTATTATTAGTAATTCGCCTCTATATACTATTACTTACGACTAATAACTAATTTAAACTTAAACTACGTAATTAAAATTAAAATTAAATTAGTACTTAATAAGAAGACAGTATACTAGACGAAGAATAAATACAGTATATTATTAGACGTAGTTTCCGTTACCACCCCTACTTCTTCTGTGTAGTTCGTTTGACTAAATAGAATAGAAGTAAAAGAAATAACCTAAAACTTAAACTACAACGACCAACCAAAACTATACCAACCAACTTAGTTTTGACGAAGGTTAAGGGTTTACTTCTAGTAGTATCTTAATTTTAAGTACGTACCTAACAGTTTAGTTACTTTCTAGGACGTACGTCCGACCGAAACGGGACCAACCGAACGGAAGGGNCTAGTGTGAACACGATTTACTAGATAGTTCCGGAACTAAAGATTTCCGGGGAACTATGTTCCGGGAACTATTCCTGGGAAAAGTACTTGGTGTGAAAGCGCCTACGCTTTCACACCAAGTACTTTTCCCAGGAATAGTTCCCGGAACATAGTTCCCCGGAAATCTTTAGTTCCGGAACTATCTAGTAAATCGTGTTCACACTAGAATCAGTCCCTGAGGGAGGATTAGTCAAATAAAGCCACTGACGTCACTTCTTCTTCTTCAACTTTGGGTTTACTGGCAGGCCGCAAACAACTTCACGGCATATACTGCCACCCAAAGTCCCCGGCCGGAAGTCCCCGGAGTTCCGAGTAAATCACCAGAACGCCGACACCTCCTCATTTGTGTTGCCATAAGTTAGTCTCTCTCCGCTGGTGCGCTGGGCTAATGCTAATGCTAATAATGCTAATGCCAGCAAATACAATGGCGGCTTCACTAAACTTTTCCGAGCTTTAAGGGTCGTAGTTTGCAATTCGCTCTGCCAACCAGAAATTGGAACCTTTTCCTCCCCAGGAGAGTCTGTGCTCTCTAGCAAGGACTGAAAAAGGGTGAAAAGGTTCGCAAAAAAAAGTTGTAGTTCCAGATGTTTTTGGTGTGAACGGAACTATTCCTCGGAATAGAACTCGGGTGTGAAAGTGCCTAATGTGTCAAATGATATTGTGATATGCTTTTGCTGTAAATAAAATAACAAACTTTTCATACAGTAAACAAAGAAAACAGGCCTTTACAATAGTCAAAACAAATCAGACAAAAGAGGCAAAACTGAACTAATTAACGAAAGGTGTGCCTCGAAGGCGCCTTTCCGACATACTTCCCATCTCTGTCTCTTTAGAGGAGGTAAATGTAGTCCTTTATACATCCTTGACTACAGACGTCACAACTTTTTTAAATGTCAATTTGGCTATATTGAGACTTGGATTAGAATTTGCTCAAATATACTGCCATGAGGAAGTGTTTCCACAAGGTGTGAATTAAAAACCAATCTGCACAACATGAATCTGCTACTGTTTTTGTAACTTTATTGATTGCTGTTTATTTTAATCATTAATATAATGTGTCTTTTATAGTATTGAATTGTTCAATTGTGGGTATTTTTGTCAAATTTTTAAAATGTGTGTGTTTTGGACAGTTGGTCCCAAAAATCAGTCACCTTGAGGTCATTTTAAAAAGAAAACATTATATAAATGTAATCCAATAACTACAATCAATAATGAGAATAATATATTCAACAGCAACCCCGTAACTGTTACAAAACTGATCATTATCAAAACTAGAAAGCTATCAGAATTATTGTTTTTTAATCAAGAAAAATAGAATGCTTTTGATCAGAGTTGTTTGTGTAAACTCGTCTGCTTTTCTCTTTCAGGTGTTTGCTGATGTGAAAGCCGTCCTAGACAAAGAGGGTTGAGTCTCCCCAGCTGCCAACAACATTCATTTACTTCTTAAGATTTCTTTGTATCAAGTACACTATAATAAGTTGATATGTCAATTCATATGACTTTTTACCTTTGGTTACATTTTTTTTTTTTTCTTTGTTTTACATCTCTTTTGTGAAGTGCTGCACTGTTGGTTTGTGAATGTGTGTACAATATGTATCGGTATGAATGACATTTGAGTTGCTAAGCAGCTCCTAGCGATCAGAAGAGGTCACAGCTCGTAGTCTGAGGCCTTTGCATAGGAACAAAATGTATCGTTAGCTTAGCTGGACACTTTCCGGTCAATCAAACACACTTCTAGTAGTCTGGTATTATATCACCAATGTCTTCAGAGGATCATGTCATCTGAGGCAGCCATAATGCTTCAGACCAAATAGTTTGATCACATACAGGGATTTGTGTAAGAACATCACATAGCTTCCATATCAAATGCATAAAACATCTGTGTTTAATGGATAGGGCTACAGGAGCAGTTGCCAGAACTGACCTGCAACACGGTTTTTGGTAGATGGCTCACTCTTCATGAATATTAGACCTCTAACAGAAGGCCCTGATGAGCTTCATCCCATGAGATCATTAATAAAATATGAAGATCAAAATGAACATTTACTGTACTGTATTGGTGTGAAGGAGGGGGGATAAAACTGAAAAGTAAAAACAATGACTTTTTTCTCTTTGTTTTTCTAAACTCATCTACATTATTCAGTCAATATGATGAACTTTCTTTATGTAGGTTTTGTGTATTTCTCTTTGATGCTAAAGTAAACATTTTAAGACGATTCTAGAAAGAAAAAAAACATGCAGGCTGTGGCTTTCATCCTAATCAGCCACCAGGAGGCGCTGGACATCACTAAATAATTTGAACCGGTATTTTTTAAGTAAGTTATTTTCAGTCAGTTGAAGTTTAACAGGATAAATAAATAAGGAAATTCATTTATAAAATGAAGGAATATTTTTTACAGAATATAGAACATTTAACATATACACTATTAATATGTATAGGGCTACATAAAAAAATCGTTAATTTAAGGTAGGGTATGTAATTTACTTCAGAAACACTTTTTGTTATATTCCATGGAATGCTTTTAACATCCCGATAGCAATGAATATATTGAATGATTTGACAGAATAAATACATTAAAAAAATTCATCTGTGGAAGCCGTGGCGCTGTCGTTCGTGTGTGTTGGAGGAGGGGCTCTGTAAGGAAGCATAGTGGCAGATTTTCTCCGGTTGTGTATTTTCAAATTCTAGCGCACTCGAGCTGGTTTCTCCAAAATTACCTACCTCACCTTTAAATGTATATTTTTATATTTTAAGTCTACATTTTTATTCTTTTGACTTTTTCAGTTTATGTTTTTAAAAGCACCGGCTAAATGTAAGGGAATACATACATTCATATATTTAGACTGCAATTTATAGTTTTTATTCATTCATAATTTGTTTATGCAAGAGTTTATTTATTCTTGTCATCTTTTGTCTTCCATATATATTCCAGTATCCACACATACAAAAAAGTGAATCAACTAAACAACAAGGTGCTCGCAAGTAGTTTTTCTATTTATGAGAATTGTGTTTTGTATTAGATTGAAAACACAAGTCTACTTGAAAAATCTGTTACATTTGCTTGAAAACAATGAACACGGGCTACATAATACATTTTTATTTTCATGTATCATATATATATATATATCATCTGCAGTTACAAAGACATTTGCTTACATATTACTAATATTCCTGAGCGTTTTTTTTAGCTTGAGGCCTGGTGCTTCTGCATCATAAGAGCTACACTCAACACATAATCAGCTTTCAAAACAAAGAGTACCAGCCATGCGTACACATGACAACAGGGCAATGCATACCAACAGCAGTTAATAACTACCAGGGCTTCCATATGGTCAGCGTTATAACACATTAGTAGTTAGAGTGTGGCGGTAGCGAATAGAGAAGCGTGAATGTAAGGCACTTTAATACACTCCTTTGTACGAGTGCACTGTAATACACACGGTAAGATAAAACACATCACACTTGAGTGATCCAGCTGAATCATTGCAGCACCAAAATGTAATTGAATACAGCGAAGAAAAAGTATAAATAGCAAGTGCAGAGTCTAACAAACAATTTCAACATGTCAAGAGCTTAAGTAGAAATATTTGAAAGAAAAGTATGAAAATATATGAATTACAGCATTATGTCATGAGCACTTGCAAAATACCAGCAGGCTAGAAATGATTGAAAAATATGTACATAGCATTTTTTTTAAACATGAAAATAAAATACGTACCACAAACTACCAAACGGTAAAAATAAAAAGCTCTCTTTTTTGTTAAAGCAACAAATGTAACGTAAATATATTCGTACTCTGCCAGCAGATGGCAATCTGAAAATATATATTATCTTATTTACATAAAAACAAATTGCGAAAGTGTGATCACATTACTGGGCAAATTCATACTGTTAT